GGTTTAAATGATAAACCATGGTAAAATTCCCGATGGTCTGTGTCTGCAAGTGTCCAAACAGGAGGATATTAATGCAATTATCTAATCAACCAATCACATGGCAGTTGCTTCAATGCATTTAGGGGTGTGGTTCCCTAAACTGCTGCCACAAAGTTAGAAAGGTTGTTACAAATATCTTAAATAACAAAACTGTTAAATACTCTAAAAATATTAGAGTAAGTTTTAATCAGTTTAAAAAGAATGTTCAAAATGGTTGAAAGACAGTCATGTTGTCTTTAAGGTCTGATTATGCCACTCTGAATGTATACGTACTGTTCAGTCCTACATATGTATTTATTGTATATATTCTGGAAATTAGCAATGTGCTATTTCTGGTGCAATACATTTATTGTACACAGTCCCTGTTTTAAATAAACTAATAAATAAAATTGGAAACAACAAGTATAGTTACTGTGTTGTGATTCTCTGAGGCATAACTGATGAGTATTTTTGACATGTCCTTCTAGTGTGTACACTCACCTAAAGGATTATTAGGAACACCTGTTCAATTTCTCATTAATGCAATTACCTAATCAACCAATCACATGGCAGTTGCTTCAATGCATTTAGGGGTGTGGTCCTGGTCAAGACAATCTCCTGAACTCCAAACTGAATGTCAGAATGGGAAAGAAAGGTGATTTAAGCAATTTTGAGCGTGGCATGGTTGTTGGTGCCAGACGGGCCGGTCTGAGTCTGATCTGCTCAGTTACTGGGATTTTCACGCACAACCATTTCTAGGGTTTACAAAGAATGGTGTGAAAAGGGAAAAACATCCAGTATGCGGCAGTCCTGTGGGCGAAAATGCCTTGTTGAAGCTAGAGGTCAGAGGAGAATGGGCCGACTCATTCAAGCTGATAGAAGAGCAACTTTGACTGAAATAACCACTCGTTACAACCGAGGTATGAAGCAAAACATTTGTGAAGCCACAACACGCACAACCTGGAGGCGGATGGGCTACAACAGCAGAAGACCCCACCGGGTACCACTCATCTCCACTACAAATAGGAAAAAGAGGCTACAAAAGAGGTCACCAAAATTGGACAGTTGAAGACTGGAAAAATGTTGCCTGGTCTGATGAGTCTCGATTTCTGTTGAGACATTCAGATGGTAGAGTCAGAATTTGGCGTAAACAGAATGAGAACATGGATCCATCATGCCTTGTTACCACTGTGCAGGCTGGTGGTGGTGGTGTAATGGTGTGGGGGATGTTTTCTTGGCACACTTTGGGCCCCTTAGTGCCAATTGGGCATCGTTTAAATGCCACGGCCTACCTTAGCATTGTTTCTGACCATGTCCATCCCTTTATGGCCACCATGTACCCATCCTCTGATGGCTACTTCCAGCAGGATAATGCACCATGTCACAAAGCTCGAATCATTTCAAATTGGTTTCTTGAACATGACAATGAGTTCACTGTACTAAAATGGCCCCCACAGTCACCAGATCTCAACCCAATAGAGCATCTTTGGGATGTGGTGGAACGGGAGCTTCGTGCCCTGGATGTGCATCCCACAAATCTCCATCAACTGCAAGATGCTATCCTATCAATATGGGCCAACATTTCTAAAGAATGCTTTCAGCACCTTGTTGAATCAATGCCACGTAGAATTAAGGCAGTTCTGAAGGCGAAAGGGGGTCAAACACAGTATTAGTATGGTGTTCCTAATAATCCTTTAGGTGAGTGTATACACTACTCTACTACTAATATACTTAGTTACATTCCACCACTGCACTACAGCTGGCCCAATCTTTAATTGCATTAATTGTCTTTGTTTGAAAAGATGTTAAAACATATTTAAACCTACAGCGCACTGCGAATATCTATGTAAAGTACACACAGAGATAATTAAAATGTATTTAAGCCATCGAGGAAATTGTTTCACGATTGCTCACTGCTCACCGAATTTGAGCAGTAATGGAAAATGTTCTGGTCAATAAGGAGTTGATGCAACTTGAATTATCTATTTAAAGCTTTAAAAGAAAAGTTTGCAATTTATATGCTAATTTCTTCTGTCATCTCTCCCTCTACCACTGCCTCTTTACAAAGGCTATGTATTAAATAATCACCTCTGTCACTACTACAAGGGCAAGAAAGCAGTTCTCATCCTTCTCGTCATCTCTTTCACACATCCCATTCACCTCAATGTTCTTCACTGCTCCATCTTCACTTTCTGTCCTTCCTTCACCTTTGTCCACAGCCGTGACATAAACATCCTCCTAAATCTTCACCTACGTCACCACTCCTGCCTGAGTAAATAACACTTCTCTTTTCTGTCCATCCATCCCTCCAGCTTCCTGAATCCTTTAGCCTGGAACAGCACTTCACTTTGCCCTATCTTCCCTTTCATCCATCCCTCCATCAGTGCTAATGTTTTGCTGCATCACCATGCTGTTGAAGGTGAAAAGGTAATTTACTCCTCCCGTTCAATGTGTTTAGTGATGCTTCTATCTGTCCCTACATCCTCTGAAAGTCAGTATACACACCAACTCGGTAGTCTGTTTGAACCTCACACTTTTTTTTTGAAGTAGCAAAAAGTGTCAAGTACAAAGTATGGTAACACTTCGCCATCGCTATAATGACTTATGCATATATTTATAACACGATATAATGCGTCCATAAGACATTATAACAGTTGTTATAATCACTTACAAACATGCATTAGGCGCTATAGCAAAGTTCATAACGTATTATAACCTTTTGATTTAATGTTTTATAACTATAGTAATACCAGTTTATATCAATGTGCGGCAAGAATCTCTGACCATGTTCCATAACACATTATAACCACCGACTCTGCCTCGTTATAAATACACTTTAGTCACCATTTACAATTAGTGATATAAAATGGAATAATAGCTTATAGTAATGTTTAAAGTTATATAGCATGTTTTTGTTTGCTTTAAGTAAAGTGATAAAATATCTATCCCTGTATAATATATTACAGGTGGATATAACACCATATGAACTAATTATAAGACCTTATAACACAACAATCCATCGTCAACTGCTTATCCTGAGTACAGTGTCACGGGGGGCTGGAGCCAATCCCAGCTTACAACAATTTATATGTAATGCTTAGTATGTCAGCTTATTAGCATTTAGATGTCAACATGTTAGCATAAATTATACGGCTGCTTTAATTTAGAAAACAATTAACATTTGAGAAGTTGGCTTCTTTTCTTAAATATAGTAAATCATTTTAGGGAAAAACGTTTTTTATTCTGGTATCAATACCAGATTTGAGCCGGTGCTAGTAGAGAGGAAAAAAAGCTGGTAACAAACCTAGTCAGAGGCATCCTCTGTATGTAAACTTTACCTGCAGTGTAGCCTTATGTGTGCATCTTTGTGTGTCTTGTGTCTTCTTTTGTCATTTTTGCTTGCAAAAAGAAATACATAACTGTAAAAAAGCTCTGGCATCAAGTGAAAACAAAACAATCTGATTTGGTATGATCTCCTTAAATCTGTATCCCTGTGATCTTCTCTACCTGGGGAGAGAAAGCATGTCACCAGTCTGCAGAGCACTCCTATCTTCCTTCCTTTGTCAGATCTTTACCTGTGTCACCTCTTCTCCCCAAGAGAGAGAAAGACCTTCACTTCCTGCTCTTATCTCTCCCTGTCTCCCTCAGTCCATCAACGTATCATCTCGTGGCTGCTGTTATCCCTCCTTCCCTCGCTCTGTCCTTTCACATCCGTCTGGCAGTATTCCTCATGTCGTAGAGAGCTGGAAACAGCAGGGATCTGACAGGCGGATGGACGGAGAGAGACGGTGATTGCCTTGGGGTTTTCTAACTCTGTTTCTTTCTCTAACTCTATCCCATCAAATCTCCATCTCTTTCTCACTCATGCGCTTGCTTGATCCCTCTAATTCTCTACTCTTCTCTCTTTCTGTCCCATTAAATATCTCTTCTGGGGTTATTCACTTTGTATTGGCTCAGTCATTATCTCAATCAGTCCTATCCTTTCCCTCCCTGCCCCCATTCATCCTTCCTTTTTTTCTGCTCTCTATCCCTCTCTCTGCTTTCAACACTCATTCTGTTTCTATATATGAACATAGACACATACACACAGACACATATAAATACTTCTAAATACGGGCTCACGTACTGTATGTACACACCTACAGTAAATGCCAACATAAACTGGGATTATCAGTATAGTGTTTAGCATGTTTGCTCATTAGTATGTATTGGTGTTATTATCCAAGGAAGGTTAAAATCAAGGGCAGCTGAACTTGGTTAAAGACACTCGAAGATGTTTCATCTCTCATCCGAGAGACTTCTTCAGTTCTAGCTGACTGGTAGGGAAACCCAGCCATTTAACCTCATTGTCAAGATGATCAATACTGCTTGGTTCATTGGTGCTCGTCGTTATGGTCGCTGGAGACACCGGAGGCCAAGCCTGAATGACCGTTGTTGGCGTTCTCACATGAGGCGAAATGTGAACGTTTGTTTAGTTTCAGGTGAGGAAATGAGAGCTGGGTTTAACACATATTGGTGTTATTAGAATATGAACACATGGTTGTTGAACATTAACATGCAAAGTCAAGGCAGCAGTAAAGTATTCAACCTGAATGCTATAAATGTCAATATGGAAAGCCGTCCAAAAGAGGCTGCGATATTTCACTCTGTGTGGCCATGAATAACAGCAATGAATATATCGATTTCTGCTGGGATTTGAGAACAAACCTCAGCACCAGGCAAGGTGCACATACACATATAAATATTATAATCTACATAAACAAGCACACTCACAGAGACTACTATATTCTCAGTTTTCAGCAGTATTTTCAGTCAAATACATCGCTGTTGTCAGTAAAACTGGTGTTTTGGGCCTCACCAAAGAGAGAGACTTTGAAAAAGCCAAAGGTTTATAAAACAAATCAGAAAAACAATCGTATCAACATTGCACTCCTCCCCAGGGATTCCATGAATAGAGGTCACTCTTCAGGTTGAGTCCCTACCTCTTTTTGGTGGTATTTGATGGCCAGTTTGAGCTTGGCCAGGTCATGGCACTGTCTGGGGTCCAGTTCCTCGCTCTGGTCGTTGTCTCTGTGGTTCAGGATGGTTTCCAGCTCTCTTGAACTCCTGGCCTGGTCCAGAAGGTCTTTGGCGAACCGTTTGCACTGCTGCGATAGCTCCTCGTACTCCTGACGAAACTCATTCTCCACCTGAGGAGAAGAGATAGTACAGACAATGAGAGTGGCAGGACACCTTTTGGAAGTACTTCTGACAGGACTATAACTATCCATAACTTTGATGGTTCATATTGTCTGCTACTGTCTATTCATAGCCAGAGAGAATCATCACTGAGATGATGATGAATGAACTGTGAGGCTTTGTGTGATTACACTGCTAGAACTTAAAGAAAAAGAAAAGTTCACTATAAAATCGAGGTACAGTCACTTATAATAAGTTAATAAATAATATTTGGTGCTGCTGCTTCCACAGAGGTTTTAACAGCCCATCAAGTTTAGGATGTGGCATCACTCCAGTAGAGTTTACTTAGGTCTTGGAGAATCGATGCCAATGAGGACTGAAACTGCTCTGGTGTACCAGCTCCTTATTATGACAGTTTTAGTTGTTGTGTCATTTAATTTGACAGTAAGCTGTACATTGTGGAAATAAAACCTGGCAAAAATCCTGATGCCAATCCTGGTTCTAAAACCTCACTGACAAGTCACTGTAAAGCAGACTGAACCTGTTCTCCACAAAGAAGAACTGGCGCCAACAACTGACCCCTTGCTAAGCCAGTCCAACAAACTGTAGGTGCTGCCACTGTCTATTCTGCACTCCCTGGAGAAATATTGTAAAATGTGTTGTAAAATCGATCTCAGAAAGAAGCAGACAGTTT